TGAGGAGGGCAGTGGACCACTACAATTCAATGTTCCTTATGGTATAGCCATTTCTCCTATAACAGGACAGGTTTATATTGCTGATTTTAATAATCATTGTATACAAGTCTTGAATCCTGATCTAACTTTCTCTCATTCATTTGGTAGTAAAGGATCAGCTAATGGACAGTTTCAGTATCTAAGTGACATTGCTATTGACAGTCAAGGATTAGTGTATGTTACTGATAGTTGTAATCATCGCATTCAGAAGTTCTCTCCAGATGGAAAGTTTGTGGATCAGTTTGGTAATGAAGGATCTGGTCCTGGACAGCTTAGTATTCCAGCAGGTCTAACAATAGACACTGCAGCTACTGGTCTGGTGTATGTTAGTGAATATAGCAATAATCGTATATCAGTCTTCACTAGTGATGGTGTGTTTGTTAGGAAGTTTGGAAGTGAAGGCAGTAATATTGATCAGTTTAAATATCCTTATGGATTAGCATTTGATAAAGATAGAGTATTGTATGTTTGTGATTCTGGTAATAGCCGACTTGTTGTTTATTAAATTATGATTTTATAGTTATTAAATTGCCAGAACAGTGGGCGGAATTGTGGAATTATAAAATTAACACTCAGATGATTGATAATTGGGTGAAAACCCTTAAGGATAAAGTGCATTTGTTTGTATGAGTCGTTTGTCTAACTACTTTTAAAGTTATCAAATAGCCTAATCTTCATTCATTAAGAGGTGGAGCCCCTTTAATGTTTTACTTTCTTCTAATTATATCATAGATAATATTAGAGACTATGTAACCAGGATAGGAAACTAGGATTTCCCCGGCGGACAACGTCCGTGATTGGATTAGGTATTAAATTTGACCATGTAGCTTGCTTTTAATGCGGAATTAATGATTTTTTGGTTTTAAGCAGTACTGTATTAAATGCTAACCCCCAATTTCATGCACATAATATCAATCATCTTCACCTAAAAGGAGAAACCTCTGCTTGTTGTGTAAAAGCTGTAACAGGTTCGACAGTCGACTGTTCGCAAAAACAGTATTTTAGATATTACTCCTCTAACATAGCGAATCAGTAAATGAAACTATGACAGTTCCATGCACAATGATTGTGGGAACATTTCCAATGATCTTGTTAGCCTATTTTTGCTCATGTGATGGAGCAACAGGTACAAATAGTTTTACAAATTTGCAACTAACACAAATTTGAACAATATGACAGCATATTCTCAAAATAACAATGGTATCAGTATTTTTTTCATTACAGCCATGTTGCACAAACATTGAAGTATTGAAATATCATTAAAATAACAAGAAACCAACATTGATTTGAATACAGTCTTCCTTTGAATGTCATTTATGAGTAGCCATTTTTTGACTATACTCACCAAAATTCAATGACAGTCATTGGCTGGGTGGTTGATACTGGTTTGAATGGATCACGTGAGCCAAATTCCTATCCTGGTTACATAGTCTAATTCCCACTGGTTGCTATATGGTAAAGCCAGTATTCATTGTGTATTATCATAACTTCTTTTAGTTGCAAGATCTTTGAATATATTTAAGGTATCGCCCACTTTTGGTATCTAGCTGACCTTCTTTAGTCTTTCTCTCCTCCTTCCACCTTCTTCATTTCTTATCGTTTGTTCTTGCTTCATCTTCATTTACCGTCTTCTACCTTTATCTTTCTTCATTTTTTGTTCTTGCTTTACGTACACAATTTTATTCTTTTCTTGAAATGGCAAGCAAACCATCTTCATCTTCTTTTCCTGGTCTCCTCAAACTGGAGGAACAGCTCACCTGTCCTGTGTGTCTTGACCACTATACCAACCCTAAGACTTTACCTTGTCTACATTCATTCTGTGAGCACTGTCTGGAGGGATTACCTCTGGATAAGAAGAATGAGACCTATTACCTCTCTTGTCCCACTTGTCGTCATTGTACAGAGTTACCAGAAGAAGGAGCAGGAGCTTTCCCTGTAGCATTCACTCTCAACAACCTCAAAGAGATGTACAGTGCAATGGAGAACAATGCAGTGAAGAAGACAGAAATTTTGCCTAATCCTCAAGAGGCCACATGTAGTGATCACAGAAAGCCTTTGGAGCTATTTTGTGAAACATGTGATACAGTGATCTGTGTTACTTGTCAATTTCGTAATCACAAACATCATGAATGTGACTTAATTGCTGACAGTTATACTAAACACTGTCAAATGTTAAGAGAATGTCTATCACCAGTTGAGGGAAAGAAGGAAGCACTCAAGAAGGTCCTGTCTGCTCTAGGAGAGAGAGAGGGTGAGATCAGAGAGAGAGGAAAAGGAATCTTAGAAGAAATACATGAAATGGTAGAGGAAATGATGAATGTTCTTCGTGAGTCAGAGAGGAAACTGACTGAGCAGGCAAGGAGGGTCACTGATGATAAACTAAAGGTGCTGTCAGAGCAAATGAAATCAGCAGAAATGAGTTTGAGTGTTCTGAAGGATGTTGAGGATTATGTGGAACAGAGTCTGAAGACAGGCAGTCCTCAACAAGTCCTGAGGTCTAAGAAACAGATGATGGAGCGTATGAGTAAAGTTACTGCAGGGATCAATGTGGAGGAGTTACATCCAAAGAAAAAGGCCGACTTTGTATTGAGTAAAGATATCAAATCACTACATCACATTGGAGATATTGTGACCTACTCATCTACTGCACTACAGCAGTGTAGAGTGAAGAAGATTGATCATATTACGCCTGCTGGCAAAGCAATTTCGTTTTCACTATCAATGAAGGCACCAGATTCATCTGTTTTGTGTGTTCCCCTCTCTTCTCTGAGGTGTAGTCTAGTACCAGTTGGTAAAGGTGATAAACCCATTCACACTACAGTCACTACCACCAGCACTAATCCTGGAGTGTATAGGATACAGTGTAGCCCTTCAACCAGTGGTATTTATACAGTAAAAGTACAAGTATATGATGTACACCTTGAGGATACCTCACTAGTCATCCCTTTCAATCCTTACCTTGATAACATCACTCCAGTACATACTATAGCCGAGTTTAAGAGTCCCTATGGAGTTGCTGTAACTGACGATAATCGTGTTTTAGTAACTGAGTATTATGGTAACTGTGTAACAATACTGGATAGAGAAGGAAAGAAAGTGAAATCATTAGGAGGGGAAGGAGGAAGTGGTAATGTAAAGTTATCTGGTCCTCGTGGTGTAGCTATTACTCCAGACAAATTAATTTTTGTATCTGATAGTAATCACAGGATCCAGAAGATAAGCATGGATGGATACCTTGTAGCATCAGTTGGTGAGGAGGGCAGTGGACCACTACAATTCAGCACTCCTCGTGGTATAGCCATTTCTCCTATAACAGGACAGGTTTATATTGCTGATGATGGTAATCATCGTATACAAGTCTTGAATCCTGATCTAACCTTCTCTCATTCATTTGGTAGTAAAGGATCAGCTAATGGACAGTTTCAGTCTCCACGTAGCATTGCTATTGACAGTCAAGGATTAGTGTATGTTGCTGATCAGGATAATCATCGCATTCAGAAGTTTTTTCCAAATGGAAAATTTGTGGGTCAGTTTGGTAGTTATGGATCTGGTCCTGGACAGCTTACTTATCCAATAGGTATAACAATAGACACTGCAGCTACTGGTCTAGTGTATGTTAGTGATATTGGCAATCATTGTATATCAGTCTTCACTAGTGATGGTGTGTTTGTTATTAAGTTTGGAAGTAAAGGCAGAAATATTGATCAGTTTAATGTTCCTCATGGATTAGCATATAATAAAGATGGATTCTTGTATGTTTGTGATTATAATAATCGACGACTTGTTGTTTATTAACTTTTTGGTAGTTGGTTTTATAATCTAAAAGTTTAATTTTTTTGATTTGATGAATTAGAGATGTGAATTGCCATATAATTTTTGATGATATTACACCTTTAAAAGCATGGTATTTCAGGGTGTTGGTAGGATTTTTGGAAAGAAGGGGCAAGCTATGCAGCGTGCGTTCGCACGCCGCGATATTTTGCAAAACCCACGCCCTTTTAGGGCGTGACCACACCTATTTTTCAATATGGCAAACTTAAAGAAAGATCATAAGCAACGTTAAATACCTTTTCAGCTTTATAATGGCATCATAGAAGGACTGATTTAGCCTTTTCCTTTCGTATGTAAGTTGTAGAACAGCTTTTCCTTCCAAAAGTAGCTTATTATTTTCTTAATTTGAAATTTTGATTTAAAAAAATGGGGGCATTTGCCCCCCTGGCTACGCCCCTGTATTTACTAAATTTGCTACTTTTTAAAAATTGCCATAGCTCAAAATATTTTAATTGGAGTCAGCTCCCTATAGACCATCAGGCTGTTGGTTGGAACTGTAGATTTATAAAAATTTAAATAGGTGATTGATAATTATATTTGGTGCCTAGAAGGTTGAGCTGATCCTGACTGATGTAAAATAGCCATAGTTGTGTTGATCCTATCATTAATTTTCATTTTCTTTAGTGTGAAAGTTATATTGAAAGTCAAAAATTATTATTCTGATGATGATGATTATTATTATTATTATAGGCAATTGGTTGGAGTGAATGGTGTTATTTGTTCAACTGATGATTTCTTTATTGAAAATGGAAGGTAAATGTATAAGAATGTTAAAAAATTAATAAAGAAGTTATGTTACTCTCCTTTTTTTCTTCAGATATATATTTGATGTAACTAAATTGTCCATCAATCATGAACTGAATCAAGCTAAAGGTATTTAATAATTAAACAAATCCATGCGCATTAATTATTATTATTTTATTTAAATTATACATTAGCTGCTCAAGCTATGAGAGAGGGTAAGACCCCAGTAATTATTGATAATACCAACACCACTGCCTGGGAAATGAAGCCATATGTAATCAAGGTAATGAGTCTAGCTAACTGCTACTTTAAAAGCATCTTTCATGTACTCTTAATTAAACTCTCTCTTCTTTCTTTTTCTTCTCTAGGCATTGGAGTTAAAGTATGTGGTTGAGTTTATGGAGCCTGACACAAGCTGGAAGTTTAATGTGGATCAGCTAGAGAGGTAACAAAAATTAAGAGAAGTTTTACTTAAATATTTGTGGTCAGAATTTTGCCAAATTTCTAATTGCAAAACCTTTTCAAAAAACAACATTTTCTACTATAAATTATGATCATCTCTTTCCCCACAGACACAACACTCATGGTGTAGCTAGAGAGAGTCTAGAGAGAATGTTGGAGAGATACCAACACAATGTCACCGCTGATACTGTACTGGCATCTGATAGAGTCACACCCTCTCGACCTAACTTTGATAGATACCATGGCAACAGTTACCATGGTCCTAGTTACCGAGGCAATAGTTACCAAGGCAGCAGTTACTATGGTAATAGGTACGGTGGGGGTGTTTCCAGTCCTCCCAGAACTCATACTGGTTTGACTTCAAGGAGCCCTACCAGCCCTCGGACTCATTCCCATACTAGCCCTCAGACTCATACTGATAGGACTCGTTCTCATACTGATACTTCTAAGACTCATACTAGTAGGACTCATTCCCATACTGCTACTTCTCAGCCTTATACTCATTCCCATACTGCTACTTCTCAGCCTTATACTCATTCCCATACTGCTACTTCTCAGCCTCATACCAATAGGACCCATTCTCATACCACTCAGACTCATACCAGATGGGCAGAGCCCGATTCCCCTAGACTGGATCAAGAGAGATCAAAGGATGTGCTGGACTTCAGCCCTCCCTTTAGCCCTCCCTCTGATGGGAGGAGTCTAACTATTACTGGAGCTGATATCAACAGTAGCACAATGACTACTAGAGACAAAAGTAATAATAACAATAATAATAACAATGACAATAATAATAATAAATAATAATAATAATAATAATGGATTCATTAACTCTTACTTCATTGACTACAATAAATTATTTTTACATGTATCTCTTTTGTCTTAATACTTTTTATATCTGACTATAGCTTATGCTTTTTTTTCCTATTCTCTAATTTTATTCTCTTATTTTTACCCTGTTACATGTCCTTTTGTTTATAATAATAATAATAATAATAATAATAATAATAATGTTTTAAATTCGTCTGGTGTATAATTATTAATAATAAATATTTTTAATTAATACTATTAGGTACTGCGAGTGCTAGTCTCTCAGTTCAAGATGATGACAGTTCAATCCTAACAGCTGCTCCTCTCATTAGCTCTACTACTGCTACTAAACCATCTTCTAAAATTGACGACCTGTTCAAATTGGAAATGGACAACCTGTTAAAATTGAAGGTATCGTCGGAAGGCGGAGTCCAAGAGGAGGAGGAGACAGGCTGGTATTATGATAGGAAGCCGTCTAATTATGGGATAAGTGACACACCCAGTAATTATGGGATACGTGACACTCCCACTAATTATGGGATACATAGTACGCCCACTAAGTATGGGATACGTGACACACCTACTAATTATGAGATAAGCGACATGTCCACTTTTAGTGTTAGTGAGACACGCCCTTCTCCTTTGAAGTCTTTTAATGACACACCCACTTCAAGCAAGAACGAGCGAGTGGGTGGAGCAACTTCATTAGAGGTAGGCATGGCTCTTGACCCATCACCTGATGTAAGTAACACCTCATCTAATAAGGACTCCAGTAATACTGATAGCAGCATGAGTGAGACTGGGGGCATGGCCACTGAAGGAGGCGGGATTAGCAAAATGGGTGTGTCAGTAGGTGGGGCTAGTGCTGTGGGCATGTCAGGAGGCAAGGCCAGTCCTTTAACTAGTGAAACGAAAGAAGGTGACTTACAATTTCTTCAGAGTTGTTTCCCTGATACCCTACCCTCAGTCTTGAATGCGTTATATGAAAAATCCAACAATAACCTCTCGACCACTGTAGACCTTGTACTGCACATACCACAGCCGTCGTACGACCAGTACACACTGGAGCTACTGGACGAAGAAGAGGATGAGTGGATGGAGTTCCATCCCAGCGGAGACACCTCTACCAGCATCTCTGAACAAGAGGGTACCCCCGTAGAGGGAGAAATGGATGATATTATTTTTTATGAGCCGGAGACGAGAGAAGAAGGAGAGACAATGGAGGGTGTTGTTGTGGAGACTAGAGATGGGCCAGAGGAGGCTGAATATGATATAATGAAAGATCTTGGACTTACGAAGGAGGAGTATGAGAGGGCATTAGGAGTCCAGCTCAAGATTGAGAGCGAGAGAGAAAAGAAGAAAGGAAAAGGGAAGAGTAGAGAGAGGGAGGGAGGGGATCCAAACGCAACTAAAGCTAAGAAAGGAATTGGTACCAATAATACTGGTACTGGAATCAAACCACCGGATATCGAAGGGGCGAAACCTGGAGCCGCTGAACCAGGACCTTCTACTGCTTCTGGCCCAGAGGGAGGGGGAAAAGGAGGAGCCTGGGACGACGCTAACCTGATGTTACGATTAACCTCATCACTAGCTAACCAGCTACAGAACATGTTTGGAAAGGTACCACCTCATATGCTTAAAGGTAAGAGGGGAGAAGTTGGGGCACTGTTTTTTAAAGTTATGAGCATGAATCAACAAAATGTGCCTTTATTATTCTGTTCTAAATTTAGTACATTTAATTACTGAAGTACATGTATCTTCTTTTTATTTTTATGTATTTTTCTCTCTCCCTGTCACCAGATGGTATAGTTAAAGAGGAAGATCTTCTTGTGTTACTGAATGAAAGTGTAGCTAAAGGAATTTATGACAAATGGATTGACACAATTGAAGTAATAATAACTGTATCATTTATTTATTTATTTATTTATGTATTTTTAATTTTATTTATTGATAGGCCAAAGACATTGAGTACAGATTTTCACAAGGTTAGAAAATGATACAGTACATGTACATATTCTGAATATGTACATGTACATATACATAATGTATTCCATATAGTGCATACATGTACATGTACATGTATGTCCTTATGTGTTTATTTTTAACTAAAACAACATACAGGATTGATTATTATGTTCATGGTCATGTTCTCTCCATTTATTATATGTACATGTACAGGAAGAGAAGCTGCCCTATCCATTAGTGATCCCACTCAAGCTTTCTCTCATAGCTCAAAGAGAAGAGGAAAGAAAGGAAGCAAGGAGAAGGGAACTCCGCTGGATCTTAGCTCCAGTAGCGGGCCAGTGGTTCAGGGGCAATGGGGGACAGTGGGGGGTACATCAGTCGACATGCATAGGATAATGGACGAGCAATATGCAGAGCAAATGGGGCAACAGGAAGTGGTGAGAGAGGAATTTATTTCTAATAATAAATTATAGCCATTTTAAAATGAGCCTTTTTAAAGAAAAATCACTGTACTATAGCCTATGGTTTTTTCCAAAAAATGGCTAAAAAATCACCCCCAATTTTTATTACATTTTCTGATGTATATTGATGTACTTATGCTGTGTAGAAAGTTTGAGCTGATTCCGACTTTAATTTTTCAAGTTACAGCTATTTTAAAAAATGCCAAAATTTTGAAAAAAATCCCTGTACTATAGCCCATGGTTTTTTTTCGAAAAATGGCCAAAAAATCACCCCCAATTTTTATTACATTTTCTGATGTATATTGATGTACTTATGCTTTGTAGAAAGTTTGAGCTGATTCCGACTTTAATTTTTCAAGTTACGGCCATTTTAAAAATTGGCTAAAATCTGAAAAAAATCCCTGTACTATAGCCCATGGTTTTTTTCCGAAAAATGGCCAAAAAATCACCCCCAATTTTTATTACATTTTCTGATGTATATTGATGTACTTATGCTGTGTAGAAAGTTTGAGCTGATTCCGACTTTAATTTTTCAAGTTACGGCCATTTTAAAAATTGGCTAAAATCTGAAAAAATCCCTGTACTATAGCCCATGGTTTTTTTCCGAAAAATGGCTAAAAAATCACCCACAATTTTTATTAAATTTTCTGATACATATTCATGTACTTATGCTGTGTAGAAAGTTTGAGCTGATTCCGACTTAAACTTTTCAAGTTATGAGCATGAAATGCAACAACTGTATCTTGATTAGACTGTTTTCTTATTTTTAGGATAATTTTGTAGTTCGCAAAATGAAAGAGAATTTCCAAGTCAATAACGAAGTCAATCAATTATACAAACAATATCCTCAGTTGTCTCACCAAGTAATTCACTGGAACTACTACAAATCGAGGTATTATTATGGAGCGGTTTCATATGACGTCACAGTATGCGTCATAATTACTTCCGTATGGCAAAATGGCTACTTTGCCATTCATTTGTACAGCGCTATAAACTCTTCTGGCAGGCTTCCTTAACTATGAGCATGGCTAATTCATGCTGCTCTTTCATTTTCCTGGACCCAGGGATGCAAAGGAAGCAAAAAGTCCTCCGATAGAGAATCAGTGAAGCGGCCGAAGTGAACAGAGCATTGCCTTGTTACTCCTGTAACTATTGCTATCGCCACTTTTCTGCTTACTACTGCTACTGCTAGAATTGTACTCCTTTTCTGCCTTGTGCTATGTAAAAGAAGTTATAGAAGAAGCAACTTTACTGCTGTAAACGAATGAGGCTCATTAATTTTTGCCATACGGAAGTAATTATGATGTCAAAAGGGTGACGTCACTGCAATCGCTCTATTATTATTATTATTATTGGTTATTATTATTATTATTATTATTGCAATAATTATTCTGGTGGGCGTGTACCCACCTACGTTAGCGACCAGCCCAATAAAGGAAGTTCAGGAACTTTAAAAAAATGGTGTCGAAATCTTACAAATTTGTCAATGACTCTTTTAAGCATAAACACTCACTCTCTTTTCACAATAACAACAACAAGAAGAAGAATAATGTCCCTCTCTCCCTCTTCTATTACCAGGTTCAATTATCCAGCAGCAAGGAATGCCCTCTACTCAATTGTAGTCCAGATGAAGCCTAAGACTCCTCCAACTGGTCCCACTTATAGACCAGGGACTGTGTCAAGGACTGCTACCGGTGGCAGCAACAGGCAACAGGTACGGGAATGGAAGTGTGAAAGTGTAGGGACGGGACTAGGAAGACGTGGGAATGAAAGGGGAGTTGTTACAGGTTGATTATGTAAAGGTTGTATGACGGGATATGATAAGGCGCCGGCGGTAGATAAACAACTAGTTTACTTAGCAACACTTAGCAACAGGAGGAGGTTAATAAGTAACTTCCAGGGCTACTTATTGACCTTCCGGTCCACTTATGAGCTTCGTTTAAACTACAGAAGTGAGCCAAACCAGGCTGAACCAGGCTGAGCTGGCCCTACTGTACTAGCCATGCTGGCCTGGTTTGGCCCAGCTCACTTCAGCTCAGTTTGGTTACTGTTTACACTATCAAATGAAACTGTGTTGGCCCACTTTAAACAGGGCTGGCTCCGTTTAAAAAGCTAGTTTAAATGCAGTATTACTTATCAAACCTCCTAGTGGTAAATAAGTTATTTATGAACCTAAAATCAAACAGTCTGATTGGTCAATGGCAACTAGGCATGGTAAAAGTCTTGTTATCGTTTTTGTTTTTTTTATTTTTATTTTAGGGAGCAACTGAAGAGAATGAGGAGGAAGATACTGGTAAGATAATATCGTCGTTGAACTTATATATATATATATATATATATCCCTCCCTCCCTCTCTCTCTCCCTCCCTCTCTCTAACTATCTCTCTCTCTCTCTCTCTCCCTCAGATTTAGATTACAGTGACTTAAGAGCTGAAGCAGCAGTTCATGCCCAGTTGAGAGCCGAGGCGTTTCAAAAAGCAGCGAAAGCAAGAGGAGAGAAACAAGGAGAACTGGCCATGCACTACGCACAAGTGGTACGTCACACGACAATCACATGATAATCACATGAACAACCTTATGTTATGTATAGGGTCATAAGCACACTGAGAAGATGAATGATGCTAATAGAAGAGCAGCTATGATGACTTATCGAATAAAGTACACTCAACTACATGTACATGTACATGTACATGTACATGTACATGTACATTTTATCCTAACCCTCATCCATTAAGTGGAGCATATAGTACATGTACAATTGTACATGTACTACACGAATGTACATTTCCTTTTATAGTATTTGTACATGTATATTATTTAACTTATTTTTTACTATAAAAATACTTATAATCCTACATGTATGTGTGTGTATTTGTGTGTGTTAATTGTAGGAATAAAGGTAGGGATAAGAACAATCTTGATCTACATTGTCTTCACGTTCATGAAGCTTTACAAGTACTGGAGGAACGGCTGATGGAGCCACACAAAAAAGGTAACAATAATAATAATATATTGATATTATTATTATTAATAATATCAATAAATATAATTGTTATTAATTAATGTAGGCGATCAGTTGTTCGTTATCACTGGGCGTGGCGTCCATAGCAAAGGGCCTCCGAAAGTCAAACCAGCTGTTTGGAATAGACTGAAGAAAGGAGAAACAAAATGGAAGTAAGAAAACAAAATATTAAGTTTTACCAAACGATTGTTTTTTGTTGTTATATTGTTAGATTCCTTGATAGAGGAGGGATGATAGAGATTATCTTTTTAATGGATAACAAATGAAAGAAGTTAATATTTGCAACAAGTTTTAACACTCAAACATATTTCATGTCTTTTTTTTTCTTGTGTCTTTTTTCCTCTGCCATAATTATCTCAGTATCATTTTATCACTTTGTTGTCCTTCCCTCCCCTTCCTTATTTCTTAATAACTACATAATACCAGTTCACCTCTCTATATTGTCTTTATGGTCATAATTCATTTTGTTCAGTTGTGTATGCACCCACTAAAAGTCAAAAAATAAACAGCATACGCCCACGCTTATTATTAACACCACACCTTCGCGTTTTGTGTGCACAAGTCGAAGAAGGAGGGAAGTCGGTCTGTTTCCGAGCTATTAAGAAATCCCTGCTACTACAGAAGAGGTTAGTGTAGCTCTAATACAGAGTTCTTGTTTATAGCCTTTGAGTGCTTGTAGCGTAATTTGCTAATACATTTTGGCAAAGATCAAAGTGATCTTAACGTACCCTTAGTCTGTAGGCTGTGTAACTTAAAAGTAGATTCTCTGGACTAGGCAGAACATTGGTATAATTTTATGATTATTGCTACACCATGTTGTCTAAAGCAAGTTCTTAACCGATAGTATAGTCTACAATGATTTTGATAATGATATTAAACAGTTCAATTTAATTTATAATCATTATTATTTCCATCATTTCTGCCTTCTATGACTAGCAAATAATATTATTATAATTCTCCTATTAGCACAGTACAGCATGTGTAATAACTATACTACCGGTAAACTGCAAGTATTCTGTGTGAGTGTAGTTTACTATCACTGCTTGTGGCTTCTAACGGTTTGAGGTCAATAGTAATGAACACTTTTGGTCAGTAGTAGTAATGATCATAGTAATCTCTTTATGGGTACACTACTGCTCTTTTGTGGCTGCCCACCTCTTACCCTCTCTCTCTCTCTCCCTCTCTCTCTTTATCTCTTCTTATATGGTCATATACTTTAAACTTTAAAATTTAATTTCTAAAATCTCAAAGGAAATTTACTGCTTCACCAGTTGGCACACAAGTCTCCTCTTATAAATGTTTTTTCTTGAATTAATGTTGTAATAATTATTATTATTTAATCCAAAGAGGATGTTTATAATTTGAGTGCATGTGTGTTAATCAAGATCAATATAAGAGTTCAGTTTAAAGGATGTTGTTATTCCATGAACTTTGCTTTCATTATAACTGTGTATACATTATACCTCTTTGGAAAGTTGATGTTTTGATGATTGTTTTACACTTTTGTATGAATTGTATCATTAAAAATCTGCTTCCTGTCATCTTACAAAGTTCCATTATACTCCATAATACTGCCCTAGTTTGAATTCCTGATACGGAATAAACATGATAAACATGTTTTTCTCTTGTAATTAATCATGATTAGTATGTCGTTTAATGGGGGGCAGCTCTGTGTTTTTAGACTAATGATGTGCATTAAACTAATGATGATCAGAATAACAAGTTTACTATTATAATATATACATTGTATATTCATATACTGTTCATATCTAATTCATACTTGTGTTCTTGACTAATGCACTACAAGTTGGTTTGTTGGTGTTGCTGTTAGTAATCACTTGGCTCACTCATGCAAACACAGTTGGCTATTATCACACTTCTTATAATATCAAATAACTATAGCTTTGTACTAATATACTGACTAAATTGCAAGGTACATGTAGGATGTATTCTAGTGTAATCACCTACCCTATACCCTGCATGTTATACTGAGTTGGCTATGTGGGGATAATACTAACAACTGACCATTTATTTTGTCGTTTCATTTGTTTATTTTACTGTTATATAGATGATGATTAATGCTTTTATTTGTCTCTTGTTTGTTCTGGTCTCCTGTACACAGGTCAGTATCTCTTTATAATTCATGCAACAAACACAGCTACATATTGTAGAGTGATTGTATGTGTACATGTACCTATAATTATCTCTCAGTAATTAAATATTTATATTATAATTTGATATACAATTCCCAGTGCCATAACAATTTTATTCTCCTAAATATTAAAAAAAATTATCTGTTTGTAGTTTGTACATTGTGACTATACTGCTGAAATAAGGATATTCTCGTACGGTAATCCAAGGAAGATACATAGGTCAATTGGAGCTGGTAATTCTCTTACTTATTGCTGCTGTGACTGTCAAGGCCAACCTACATGTTGCAATTCTGGTGCAGCACAATCTTGTGCACATAATTGCAATACTAAAGTGCTGATCTGTATTGCTGATAAGTATTGTGTTACAAGCACTTACATGGCACAAGGAAATCAGACATTCACTAATACTGCATTTGGAAATTTAGCTAATCCTATCTACATTAATGTACCAGCACCATTTACACAAGTGAGTGCTGCTATTGCTTTTAAGAAAATACAGAGTGGAGATATGAAAAGAAAAAATAATGAGAGTGATATCTATAATTCATTTACATGTAGCTATATCATAATAACCATTATAGTTTAAATGAATGATACATAGCATATAGATGTATGGTATATTATTATTGAAAGTTTTGGAAGAGTATTAGTTATAATAATGATGATTATTATAATTTTCTTCATCTATGTAGGTTAAACAGCTCTTTCAGTTCTTTTTATATAAAAGTGCTGATAGCATGCCACTGATTAAGGAATTCACTGAAAACCTATATATACCTTTAGGCGATACTGAAGAGTTTTACAATGAAGAAAATTTTGTATCGCTTCATCATAGCATAACATACAGATGCTCTGATAATTATTATCATGGCAACTGCTCAGTCTATTGTAAAGCATATGATGATAATACCAATGGACATTATACCTGCAATTCTATTGGAGAAAAGATATGTCTTGCTGGCTATACTAATACTAGCAACAACTGCCTTGAAAGTTAGTGCATGTACATGCATTTTTTGAATGATTATAATTATGTGTCTATTTCTCATTCTCTCTTCCTTTAATTTTTTTCTCTTAATTCTGCCTCTCCAATTTGATTTTAATGTCTCATTCTCTCTTCTTGTGTTTAAATTTCCTCTCTTAATTCTTTCTTCTCTCTCTTCCTTTCTCTTTAAAGGTATAATAGTTTGCAGGGAAGGCTGTCATCCTACCAGAGGCTATTGTACAGTATCTAATCAATGCTTGTGTAATAATGGCTGGACAGGAACAAACTGCAGCATATCCACAACCTGTTCATCTTGTACCAATGGAGTATGCTATGAACCTAATAAGTGTACCTGCAATCAAGGCTGGATTGGATTAGATTGCAGTATTCCACTTTGTGATCCTCCATGTAATGGTCCTGGTGGACGCTGTTACAGTCCTAATAACTGCAGCTGTTATGAGAACTGGAGTGGGAGGCTGTGTGATATACCCCCAGGTACATGTACAAGTATTTGCTACTGGTAGTTGTAGTAAGAGAAGTTGTAACTTAAAAAATTTAAGTCAGAATCAGCTCAAACTTTTAAGTACATCAATATGTATCATAAAATGTAATAAAAATTTGGGGTGATTCCGGAGCCATTTTTTGGAAAAAAGCCATGGGCTATAGTACAGGGATTTTTTTCAGATTTTGGCTGATTTTAAAAGATGGCCATAACTTGGAAAATTTAAGTTGGCATCAGTTCAAACTTTCTACATAGCATAAGTACATCAATATGTATCAAAAACGTAATAAAAATGGGGATGATTTTGGAACCATTTAAAAAAATATTGCATGTATGCCAATTTATAGTAATAAAAATTACTGTTACTTTATAATTGTTGTCCTTTTTATTATTAGGAGATGGTTCAGGTAGTGGTACATGCAGCACAAATAACAATACACTGTTGCTTAGTATACTCAATACAGTAAACTCCATCAGTAAAGATAGCAAGGATAATGCCACTACACTACTAAATGCAGTGAACTCAGTTAGTGAGGCTAATACTGCAGATGATGATGATGATGGTAGTGCTAATGTAGCCATGTATGTTTCCATAATTAATGTTATCATTAATATTATTATTGTGCTGCTCCTACTTGCAATGTGTGTGTTATATTTTACTCGTAAAACAAAGCAGTATGATTTAAAGGGATCTGAGCTAACTAGTAAGTATAATGCATTTATTTTTTAAATTTAATATTTTTTTGTAGAAATTTGAGGATAATTATTATGAAATTTCAAGCCTTTTCATCCTTTTTAATGATTATTTTTTCCAAGACATTTTTTGCTTTTTTCATTGTAATAAGAATATTTTTGTATTTTTTTGTAAAATTAGTTATTAAAATCAATCAATTTATTGCACTTGCCTGTCTTTTTTCTCTTTCTTTTTTCTGCTGCCTTATATAGCATAATTCACTTTATCATCACTTTACAAACATCTTCAGCACATCTGATCCATGCACTTATCATTTCTTATGTCCTTGCTATTACTGTATCAGCTCCCATCATTATACACCTTGTTCAGTATTATGCACCCACTTAATCAACAGCCATCACACACCCACGTCTTTAATTAGTACCACACCTTCACGTTTTGATGCAACTGTGCATGCACAACTCGCCGCAAGGAGAAATCAGTCTCTCCGCTCTGAGCTAATAGGAAATCCCTGCTACTAAAGAAGAGGTTAGTGTACCTCTAATACAGAGTGCTTGTTTAATCTAGTTTGTATATAGTCTTTGATTGCTTGTAGCGTAAAATTCAATTCTAAGTGCATTTTGGCAAAGCCTGCCGGCTCAACTGAAGCCGTACTTAACTAGCCTTTTGCCTTGCTTTCTGTGTAACTTAAAGTATATTCTAATTAAAGTATATTCTAATCATTATGAACTAAGTAGAGCATTGGTATAATTTATTATTGCCACTACATAATGTTGTCTTAAATGCTAAGCAAGTTCTTAATTGCCGTACTTGCATGTCAGTATCACCATAGTCTACTATATAAATGGTATATATTCACTTCAATTTTAGATGGACTCTTGATACCGTAATAATCATTATTACTTCCATCATTTCTGTCTTCTGCAACTAGCAAATAATATTATTATAATTCTCCTATTAGTTATACTATTACATGTAATTCTGTGTGTGTCCAATTAACTATCATGCACTGCATGCTTGTGGCTTCTTCAGGTTTGAGGTCGGTAGTAATGATGAACAGCACTTTTGGTAATAATAGTGATAATAGTAATCTCACTACATATACTCTTTTGTGGCTGCCCACCTCTCTCCTTCTCTCCCTCTCTCTCTTTACTTACCTCTTCTTATTTGGTCATATACTTTAAACTTAAAATTTATTTTGTAAGTCTCAAAGGAAATTTACTACTCCACTAGTTGGTACACACTAATTGTCCTCTTAATAATGTTTTTTTCTTGCATTAATATTGTAATATTATTCTCTAATCCAAAAAGGATATTTATATTTTGAGTTTATATGTTTGTTAATCAAAATTAATGCAAGAGTTCAGTCTAAAGGATCATAAGGATGCTGTTTAATTCATGAACCTTTGCTTGCATTATAACTGTGTGCATATTATACCTCTTTGGAAAGTTGATGTTTTGATGGTTGTTTTACACTTTTGTATTATTAAAAATCTGCTTCCTGTTATCTTGCAAAGTGCCATTATTAGTTTAAATTCCAGATATGAAATAAACATCATGATAAACATGTTTTTCTCTTATAATTAATCATCATTGGTATGTTGTTTGGGGGGGGGCAGCTCTGTGTTTTTAGACTAATGATGTGCATTAACTAATGATGACGAATAACAAGTTTACTATTATTATATATATATTCATATAATGTTGATATCTAATTTATACTTGTATTCTTGACTAATGTACTAGTTGGTTTGTTGGTGTTGCTGTTAGTAATCACTTGGCTCACTAGCATGCAAATATACAAACACAACACGGTTGGCTATTATCACACTTCTTATGGTATCAAATAGCTATAGCTTTGTACTAATATACTGACTAAATTGCAAGGTACATGTAGGATGTATTCTAATGTATCATCTACCTATCCTGTTACACTGTGTGGGCTGTGTCTATGGATAATACTAACAACTGACCATTTATTTTGTCATTTCATTTGTTTATTTTACCTTTATATAGATCATGATTAATGCTTTTATTTGTCTCTTGTTTGTTCTGGTCTCCTGTACACAGGTCAGTATCATTTTATGCAGCGAACACAGTTACATATTGTAGATGATCATGTGTACATGTACCTATAACTATTTCTCAGTAATTAAGTATTAGTTAAAGCACTGTTGAGAGTAGGTTATGGAAATTATTGCACTCGGGACAGTCTCGACAAAAATGTAGCACTCGGCTTTGCCTCATGCTACATTTTCCTCTCGACCGCCCCTCGTGCAATAATTTCTGTAACCTACTCTCAACAGTGCTTTAATTAATACATATTATAATTTGATATACAATTCCTAGTGCCGTAACAATTTTATTCCTTATTTTTAATTTAAATTATTTATATAATTTAAACACATAGAAGAACTCCTAAATTTAAAAAATTTTTATCTGTTTGTAGTTTGTACATTGTGACTATACTGCTGAAATAAGGATTTTCTCGTACGGTAATCCAAGGAAGATACATAGGTCAATTGGAGCTGGTAATTCTCTTACTTATTGCTGCTGTGACTGTAGTGGCCAACCTACTTGTTGCAGTCCTAGTGCATCACAATCTTGTTCACGTGATTGCAACACTAGAGTGCTGATCTGTATTGCTGATAAGTATTGTGTTACAAGCACTTACACGGCACAAGGAAATCAGACATTCACTAATACTGCATTTGAAAGTTTAGCTAATCCTATCTACATTAATGTACCAGGAGCATTACCTTTTCAAGTGAGTGCTGCTATTGCTTTTAAAGAAAATACACAGTGGAGATATGAAAAGAAAAATAATGAGAGTGATATCTATAATTCATTTACATATAACATGTATATCATAATAACCATTATAGTTTAAATGAATGATACATAGCATATAGATGTATGGTATATTATTAGTGAAAGTCTTGGAAGAGTATTAGTTATAATAATTATGATTATTATTGTTTTCTTTATTTATGTAGGTTAAACAGCTCTTCCAGTTCTTTTTATATAGAAGTGCTGATAGCATGCCACTGATTAAGGAATTCACTGAAAATGCAGCTGTACGTTTAGACATTATGCGAGAGTTTTTCAATGAAGAAAATTTTGTATCACTTCATTATAACATAACATACATATGCTCTAATGATTATTATGGCACAACCTGCTCGCTCTATTGTAAAGCATACAATGATAGCACTAATGGACATTATACCTGCAATTCTGCTGGACAGAAGACTTGCCTGGCTGGCTATACTAATACTAGCAACAACTGCCTTGAAAGTTAGTGCACGTACATAAATTTTTTGAATGATTATAATTATGGCATGTGTATATTTCTCATTCTCTCAGTTCCGCCTCTCCAATTTGCTTTTAATTTCTCACTCTATCTTCTTCTGTTTTAATATTCTTTCTTTCTTTCTCTCTCTCTTTTTCCAATTCCCTTATTATTATCAAAGGAATAATAGTCTGCAGGGAAGGCTGTCATCCTACCGGAGGCTATTGTACAGTATCTAATCAATGCTTGTGCAATAATGGCTGGACAGGAACAAACTGCGACATATCCACAACCTGTTCATCTTGTACCAATGGAGTATGCTATGAACCTAATGAGTGTACCTGCAATCATGGCTGGATTGGATTAGATTGCAGTACTCCAGTTTGTGATCCTCCATGTAATGGTCCTGGTGGACGCTGTTACAGTCCTAATAACTGCAGCTGTTATGAGAACTGGAGTGGGAGGCTGTGTGATATACCCCCAGGTATAGATAGGTACATCATGTTTTGCTACTGGTAGTTGTGATTATAATTGAAGTCGTAACTCCAAAAATTTTAGTGGAAATCAGTCAGCTCAAAGTTTCAACATAGCATAAGTACATCAATATGTATCATAAAATGTAATAAAAATTGTGGGTGATTTTGGTTCTTTTTAAAATATTGCATGTATGCCAATTTATACATGTAGTAATAAAAATTTCTGTAACTTTTATAGTTGTTGCCCTTTATATTATTAGGAGATAGTTCTGGCACTGGTACATGTAGTAACACTACACTGTTGCTGAGTATACTCGATACAGTAAATTCCATCAACGAAGCTACTACATGTAGCAAGGACAATGCAACTGCACTACTGTCTACTGTACTAAGTGCAGTGAATGGTTCTGGCAGTGGTACATGCAGTAACACTAATAACACTACACTGTTGCTAAGTATACTCAATGCAGTAAATTCCATCAATGAAACTACTACATGTAGCAGGGACAATGCAACTGCACTACTCTCTACTGTACTAAGTGCAGTGAATGGTTCTGGCAGTGGTACATGCAGTAACACTAATAACACTAATAACAATACACTGTTGCTAAGTATACTCAATACAGTAAATTCTATCAATGACGCTAGCAAGGAAAATGCCACTGCACTACTCTCTACAGTTCTAAATGCAGTGAACTCAGTTAGTGAGGCTAATACTGCAGATGATGATGATGATGGTAGTGCTAATATAGCCATGTATGTCTCTATAATTAATGTTATCATTAATATCATTATTGTGCTGCTCCTAATTGGAATATGTGCCTTGTATTTTACTCGTAAAACAAGGCAGTATGATTTAAAAGGATCTGAGCTAACTAGTAAGTGTGGCATCTTTATTTATTTTTAAATTTATATTTTTTCTTTTTGTAGAAATTTGAGGATATTTATTATTAATTTTCAAGTCCCTTCATTAAAAAAATTTTTTTCCAGACATTTTTTGCTTTCTTCATTGTTACAAGTTTTGTATTAATTTTTTGGTACAATTTTTTTGTAAAATTAGTTATTAAAATCAGTTAGTTTATTTCAGTTAACTAACCAGCATCACTTTATTAACTAACTTTAATGAAAAATGGCGTTTGGCATGGAAGCAAGACCTACTTGTACCTCTTTTTCTTTTAACATCCTGCGACAGCACAGCCAGGCTTTATTCGGAGCCATTAACGTCACAGAGCCAATACCAATCGCCTGGTCTCTATACTCAAAAGGAATCATTGAGAAATGCACTCTCGACAAAGTGCAAGCTTTTGGTATCCCTCGCTACCTGCAAATCTCTGGCCTTTTGGAAGGGGTGCTATCATCGGTCGAAAGCAAGCCAGATCTTTTACAAGTAACTCTGGACGCGTTGGAGTCCAATTCGTCTCCTGCTATTGCTACAGTTGTGGACCAGATCAGATTGAAGCTCTCCTTTAACGTGGAGAGAATGAGGGACGAGAATTCTCTATCACCAGGAAGAAGGAGGAGAAAACCAAGTTAGCCAATAACTGATAATATATTCTACGTACATAGATATGTAATTCTGTAGTTAAAATTTTTTGTATATTCATATATATATATATATATTTAAAAGAAATTTCCACTAATATTTTTGTCCTTACCACACGTACAAGTAGTACATGTTCACGCTATTTATTGACACCTTGAGCTAAGAGGGGCCCATGTAAAATTTAATTACATGTACATGTACATGCACTACATGTACATCAGTACACATTATGTTTATGTATGTACATGTACATGTGTATCTAGCCTTTGCATTATAACAAGAGGCTCTTACTTGAACTTTGTCTTTAAGTGCATGTACATGTATGTACATGTACATGTATGTTTTTATCCCACTAAGCATTCGTAGACAATTTAACGATTACTCAGTCTAACCTTCATTAGTAAAGTATAACTGTCAGAATAAGCTTCAGTAGTTATTTATAAATGAGAAAGTGGTATTTTGAATCACATTGGTACATGTCCTTCATATACATGTACATGTACATGTAGAGTAAAGAAACCTATCAACTTTTAGGCTACTTTTCATGTGACCTCCTGAACTGGGCTGGATTAGTATGAGCCTTTATTAATCTTGTCATAATTGTGGCGGCTAGTGAAGGAAGAACACCTGCTATAACTCACTAATAATAATAATAATTAGCAGCTAACATTGAGTATGACAGTCTTATGCTGCGTTTAAACTACAGAAGTGGGCCAAACTGTACTAAACCAGGCTGAGCTGGCCCTGCTGTACTAACCATGCTGGCCTGGTTTGGCCCAGCTCACTTCAGCTCAGTTTGGTTACTGTTTACACTATCAAATGAAACTGTGCTGGCCCACTTTAAACAGGGCTGGCTCAGTTAAAGAAGCTAGTGTGAACACAGTATAATGTTCATGTACATGTACTGTAGTAGTGAGAAGTCTATCAAATGTGATATTTGATGTATTCATGGACAGGTGGCCACTACAAATGAGTAATTATGTCATGCATGTAAGTAATGGTGTATATCATTATTGTAGTAAAGGATTCATTTTAATAGTAAAGTGTGATAAAAATATAATTATAGTTATAATAATTATCTCTTCTTTTCTTTCTCCTCTAGAAAATATAGTTATCCCTGTTGACAGCTCAGTACATAAAGACCTCATGCAATTCAACCTCAAATTCGGTGGTTTCTTTTACAAAGTTCGCAAGTCGATATCAGAAGAAGTCCAATCCTCATACCTCAAGATACAGGATCTTAAAGATTACCTTTCCTGCTATTCTCCTCATCTCTCACCCAAGTTAGAATCGGAAGATTTCTTTACAATCCTTCGTAGTTTATCTTCACCCACCAACACTTTGGTGCTAGAGAGTATGGCCGATCATTTCCAGCTGGTCCAGACAAGCGATTTGATTCAAAGCTACCACAGGGAGGAGGAGGTTTTTAAGATGAAGCTCCTCGATAAAGACTTTGCTCGCGAGCTCCAAGAAGAGATGTCAAGGTTTGAACCAGACTCAGAAATACAGATCAACCTCAAGCTTCAGTGGCACTGTTATGATGACATGACGGTGAAAGAGTTCCGGGATTTACTCAACGAAATTTTCTCGTCCAATTCTCGTTATATACACCTCCTACAGGTTAAGAAAGGGTGTGTCCATTGCGTGTGTCGGGCCCCATTGGTACTACAAGAGGTACTGGTGACACTAGCTAGAGATAGACTGGAGTGGTTGGTAGATAAAGGGATCGGTCTGTTTAGTATTGGGGGTGTGTCTATAATAGAAGAGAAGGTGGTTGAGAATGGAGTGAATCATGATAATGAAGTAAGAGGAAATTTATTGTCAATATATTGTTGTTGTTGATATTTTTAGTTTTTTTTTTATTAATTTTTTGTTATAATTATAAACAGGAATGCATGACTTCTGTTATTAATTTTAATTATTTTTTGCTCTCTCTCTCTCTCTCTCTCAGTCTTTAGGTAAGCAAAAGTCCGTTCCAACCCAGAAACCCACAGTCCCGGTTACTATAGAAACAACACAGCCCCTCCCACAGGAAGTGATCGACCTCCTCAACCAGTACCTCTCTCACAACAGTTGCCACGGAAACCCGTCGACCTGCATGAGTTGCTGCAAGATTGACCGAACAGCTCGACGACTACTATCAACATACACAATAAAACAAGACAATGAAATAGACGGGGCTTTAGACGAGAAGTCACACCTATGGGTGTCGCCTGATCAAGGACTAGGACAAAGCTTAACGAAAGGAATGACAGAAGGAGAAAGAGAGAGAAAGGAGGAGGAGGGAGAGGGGAACGACGCTGAGTCTAGTCAGAGTATATCAATATTTAGTATACCACAGACTGTGAGGGATAATATGTTGAATGAAGAGGAGAGAGAGCGATTGGAGCCAAAAATAAGTTTAAAAGAAACAGGAGGCTGCACACATAAAATGGAGGAGAGAGGACTAAAAAAAGACAAGAAACAAGAAGCAGCGACTATCACTGATTCTAATACAATGGCGGCCGGCTCATTCCAATCGCAATCAGTTACTGATCCTACACTATCTTCAAGAGACAGTAACAATGTTACTATACCAACTCAAATAGAATCTACTAGTACTTCATATGATGATCAACCAGTCGTTACTCCAATGTCACCACCTTTATATTCATCTCATCCAACCTTCGTCCGTCGTTCGTCCAGTAACTATGACAGCGGGATTGTTCTTGGTCCTCCTAGCGATGAGACTGGCGATAAAGTGGGAGGGGTCGACGAGAAGGTGGGCGTGGCTGATGCTTATAGAGTGATTGAGAGGGAGGAGAGTGGGAGGAGACACGAGATACTGAGTCAAATAAAAGAAGAGAAATAAACAATAACAATAACAATAATAAAAATATTTAATCACTTGATTCATTTAATAATAATAATAATCATTGCGTTTCATTTTGTTTTTCATTAATCTAGACCATTGTTATTATACTATTAACGATAATAACAGCAGTAATAAGAAAAATAAATAACATTATTGTTTTATTTTCAATTTTATTCATACCACCCACGCAATTATTCACTTATAACTAGTTTTAATAACCGAAGTCACGAGAATATTATTAACCCTTTAAACCACATCAACACTTTAAGCTTTAAAAAAGCCTTAAAATCAAGTCTAAAGATGACTGCCTCTCTACTAGTGGCGGGAGGAGGCCCCATAGAAGTGGATGAGAGGCTACTGTTAGATCCTGAGGGTCGTATAAAGCAGTTAAGTCAAATAGGCGGGTCTGTGACTGTAAATAACGACGTGCCTATTCTACGGTACCTCAGGAGTGGGCCACAGATGGAGAAAATGGTCAGTAACTCCTAGTTTTGTACATAATGTACGTGTTTATCCTCTTAACAATAAAGTTTACTGTTTTGTCTACAAGCCACGCCCAGTATGATTTATGACCACGCCCCTCTAATTAATTATTTCTACATTGATTACTTTGTAGATAATTGTCCTATCAAATTTTGTTTTTTTGGTGATATAGATACGTAATAACTTGTTAAATCATCTCTTCAAACCTTCATTATTATTATTATTTACCTTAAGGTTACTTTTAAATGCGGGTACTATTAATTGCGAATTTTGCGTTTGGGTTTAAAATTGCAATTATTAATACGCGCAATTATTAATAATGACATCATGATGCCATATAACTATTAGTAATAATTACTTATTCGCAATTTTTAATACCAGCAAAATCTACCTTGTGCTAAAATTGCAAAATTTAGTACCCGTAATTAAAAGTCACTCTAAGGTATTATCATTATCTTAAGCAAGAGAGCTTAAAGGAAGAGTAACTGCTTTATAGCCTAAAGCACTGTCCTTTATTGTCCAGAGAAGGCAAAGAAGGAAAGAAATCCCTCACTTCTATGAGAATATGACAGTCAAGGGATGGTTCCATGCTATTAAAAATATAATACTTGAGATAGTACTCTTCTGTTATTATAATAAGTGTATTATACCAGAGCTTGAAGTAACAGTTAGATATCAGGCCTTTTCCGACTGTATTGCTTGATTTTTCGACCAAATTTTGTGTTCTTTTACCATTTTGTCTGAGCAAAATAATTTTTAGAATAATGATATAAATTTTAGTTAATTTATTACAAGCAATTTAACCAATTAATCATGTTCCCACAAAATATGCTAACTGAACTAAAACAGCATGAGCTTCATGACCAGAATGCAGTACATTGCATTTGGAGTAACTTTAAAAATTCATAAAAAATCCAATTTTGATCAGAATCAGTTCAAATTTTCTACACAACATAAGAACATGCATATGCATCAGAAAAAATTATAAAAATGAAGAATTCTCTCCTTTTCATTTTTGGTGAAATTAGCCTCGAGACCCTGTACTATAGTACAGGGACTTCGGCCCCATTTTTGAGTAACTTTAAAGATTTGTAAACAATCCAGATTTGATCGGAATCAGCTTAAACTTTCTACACAACATAAGAATATGTATATGTATCAGGAAAAATTATAAAAATGGTCTATAATTCACTACAAGTGACATTATTATCAGTATATTATTTATTATTAATTATTATTAGCTCCCTTGTCATAATACATGTCAAAATTTAATCCGTCAACCTACCAATTTATTCAATTTGTCCAAAATTTTGTAGCACTAATAAATCCTGCTATACAGCATACAGTAGTTATTATTATTTTGATACACATCATATGGTACTACTCATTATTGCTCTGACTATGTTCTTGTGTCAAGTGAGAGTAGCTTCATTTTATTTATCTTTATTTTGATGATTAATAAATGATATAGCTTAAATATGTGCTACTGTGTAGCTAGTTCATTTTGAGATACTAAAATTTTGAAAATTAATAAATATATTAGGTTTGAGTTGTATAAATCTATATTTTTCTTTGTTTTTTTCATAATTCACTTTTTTATGGTGAAGCCTTGGTTTCATTATGTAGTCTCTTTGCTTTTATAAACCTTTGCTAGTGAAGGAAAGTTTCTTTAGCTATATGGCATGGTAGAAGTCTGTTATACACCTCGGTTTCAGTTTATAACCGGTTTCAGTTTCATGAGTTGTTTATATAACAAAGGAGGTACTATCATAACTACCTGTAGTCACGAGACTATAGAATATTCCAAGAGGTCATCAGGGCTATCTTTCCCCAGGCTACTCTCATTCTTGTTCATTCCAACTTCTTCATTTTCTTATCGTTTGTTCTTGTTCTATCTTCATTTACCATCTTCTACCTTTATCTCTCTTCATTTTTTGTTCTTGCTTTACGTACACAATTTTATTCTTTTCTTGAAATGGCAACCAAACCATCATCTTCATCTTCTTCTCCTGGTCTCCTCAAACTGGAGGAACAGCTCACCTGTCCTGTGTGTCTTGACCACTATACCAACCCTAAGACTTTACCTTGTCTACATTCATTCTGTGAGCACTGTCTGGAGGGATTACCTCTGGATAAGAAGAATGAGACCTATTACCTCTCTTGTCCCACTTGTCGTCATTGTACAGAGTTACCAGAAGAAGGAGTAGGAGCCTTTCCTATAGCATTCACTCTCAACAACTTCAAAGAGATATACAGTCTAATGAAGAAAGTAGCTGATCCTGAA